GTTCAGCATCTTAGCTGTGGAGGGCAGTGTCACTGGCCCTCATATGTGGGATCCGAACCGGGGCCCTCTTGGCATCCCAAGCGAGTTCTTAACCATCGCGCCACTCGGCCGGCCCCTACATTTTCTGTTTTAAATGTTCAGAGCAGCTGCCATTTTTCCTGACTGGATTTTGATTGATACGTATGTCCCTAAGACTTGAGAGGTTAAGTTTTATGACGAGTGCCTTTTGTCACCCTAGTTGGTGTCAGAGTAGTAGTTACCAGCTTAGTGAATCCATTGATTCATTTAAGAAATGTGACTACGAAAGAGAGCAACATGTTGACCTCTAAAAGAGTGAGGGAGTGAGAGTTAATGAGTTGCTATTTTCTTTGAAAATGGAGGGGGACATAGTTAGCTAAGTTTAAGAAGGTAAAGTACTGAAATCTTGAAGAGGGCAGACATGGTTTGGAATGGGCTGTGGAAATCAGCATGCTGCTGTGAAAAGCACCTGATTCTGGAGCTAGGAGATCTTAAAACCTGATTGTACTAACTAGCTGTGGAATCTAAGGCAAGTCACACCATTTTTTCGACTCCTCTGTAAGGGGGTTGGGCAGTCACTAACATCCCTTTTACCTCTAAAATTCTGATTCTACGTGAGTGTTAGCTTCCACCCACCAATTCTGGTTCTGCCTTAATGGAGCAGCAAAACAGAATATGGATATGACAGCTTTTCAAATATTTGGAGCCAGCCATCATGCTTCTCCCTGCCTTTCTCTTCTCCACCCAAAATGGCCTCGGCTTTTATGACACCATTTCCTGGTAACTCTCCTGGGCATATCTTTTTAAAACTAGGTACCCCAAAATACACATGCTACTTCAGACATAGTCTAATTATTGCAGGGACCATGAGATTACAAACTCCTGTTACTTGGTGATACGGATTTAGCATTTTATTAATTCTTATTTTAATTATGTAAATGCTGTCAGCCTCAGTCTGCATTTACCCCCTCCTCTTCTCCTTGCCCACATGCTAATATAGTTCTTTTCTTAGTTAAAAATTTTTATTCTGGTAAAATATATTTTAAAAGTCATTTAAACCATTCTTAAATGTACAGTCCAGTGGCATTAAGTACATTCATATTGTTGTGCAACCATCACCACCATCCATCTCTAGAAATTTATCACCACCCCAAACTAAAACTTTGTCCCCATTAGACACTGACTCCCCATCCCCTCCTCCCTCCGTCCCCCCTCAGTTCCTGACAACCACCATTCTACTTTCTGTCTCTATGAATTTAACTCCTCTAGGCAACTTCCAAAAAGTGGGATCATACTGACTGATTGGTTATTTCACTTAGCACAATGACTTAAAAGTTTCATCCATGTTGTAGTATGTAGAATTTCATTCCCTCTTAAAGTTGAATAATATTCCATTGTATGGATATACACATTTTGTTTATCCATTTGTCCGCTGCTGGACATTTGGGTTGTTTCCATCTTTTAGCTATTATGAATAATGCTGCTATGAATGTGGGTGTACAAGTATCTGTTTGAGTCCATTTTCAATTCTTTTGAGTATATGCTCAGAAGTGGAATTGCTGAATCAAATGGTACTGTTTAATTTTTGGAGGAACCACCATACTCATAAATATTTTTGTCAAGGCAGACTCTTTCAGGCTTCTGCAGGTGGACTCTGTGCCTGCTCTATTTTACGCAATGTCAAGTACAATTTATTATGTGTAGTGATTCCTATGGTAAAGAATCATTTATGTATAATGTATGGTCCACTGCCCTGATTATAATCAATGCAGGGGTTGGCTATAGTTTATTAAATATTTAAATCTATGTAACATGCAGAGATCAGTAACATCCACTGAGCAATGAAATATTGAATTAACATTTTCCAGGATGACTATTTTTATAAACATTTTTTGATATGCCATTGTGGGCTTTCTAATCCCAACTTCCCTAGGAAAAGAAAGATAGCATTTAGTGGCAATTATCGGGAACCACTGGCTTTAAAAACTGGTGGAAATCTAGATCAGTATTTACACAGTGCCACAAATTTTTATGTCCAAAGTAAGTTCTAGTCAGTATAATTAGATCCTTGAGTCAATCTTTTAATGGGCTGGATCTAATTCATTGTCATCCCCCCACACGACTAATAAAATCATCTCAAGTTTGCGATCATGACTTTGTGGCAGCAGTTAATGAATACTCTGTAAAATAAAATATTTTGTAAATCACAATGTTCTCAAATTTAAAGCTGTAAACTCTAGATTTGAAAACAACACACACTATGCCATACGCTTTTATATTGTTTTACAGTTTATTTTTAAAATGACAGTAACAAATGCTTTTCCCCTGTTGGGGGATGACTTATCTATTTTCAGTGGACAGAGCCTTAACAGTAACAGCGTTTTGTCCAAATTGAATTTATATAATTGCACAAAAGTCATACAAAGCATTAAGAAATGCTAACAAAGATTCTAGTTCTCTCAGAGCCTCATGAAGCACACCCCAAGAGTCTTGATTTCATGAGGATCCCTGATCTGAACAATAATGATGCTTACCCCAAGTTCCTGAGTGAAGCAGATGTAAGGAGCAGCCAAGACCCACGTGCTTTGGAATTCTGCTCTAACATTAGGCTTTCAAGATGAATTCACCTTCTCATTATACCCGGAGTATTAAACACTTCAGCTTTTGAAGTATATTAGCCCAGGCTTAAAACTAAACCCTAACAACTTAAATTTTAAAAATTAACAAAACCATAAAAACCTCTTCTAAGCAGAGTCCTTTATGCTGCCACCATCCTGAACCCTCACTTAGTTTCTAAAATACACACACAAATAAGTTACATTCTCATCTATTGAATGCCAGGTGAGGGATGGCAGGTAGGGTCTAATTCCAATTCCAACTGTTTTACTGGTAGCAGTTATTTGAAACACTGTGTTTCCTGATAGCTGGGCTGATGGAACAGTCCCTGTACTTGACTTGTGACATGGGCACAGGAGAAGCAGAGGCAGCTCTCATGTATCATATTTGCAAGCTTTCTTTTACTAAGAAAGCTGAAGAGGGTGTTGACTGTGTACGTTTTGAAAAATATACAAAGCCCAATTTTTCTGTGAGTTACAATGTCTTTATCTGGGGGATTTAACTTATCTCATGGATCTTAATCTCAATTAAGATATAACATCTATAATAGGAGTTTTCCCTTTCTGACCTTATAAAAATTAATGAGAAAATAATATTTTGAAAGAAGACGCACACAGAGAGCTTGAAGTCACCTTGAGGTACCTTTCTAACTTGGATATTATGACTTGGGACTAAGAGAGTTTTTACTCCAGTGTTTCCATTGCTGTGTTTCAAGTAAAAAACACAGTCCTTTTCCTTAAGGGAGAAAAAAATAGCAATTCCTGAAATAAACACATAAAAGGCAGAGCCTATCTAGATCTGCTGCCTTCATTTAGATGGTATCATTAATGATTCAACCTCATCTCTTCAGTTCAGGGAGACAGATTCCAGTGGAATATTTGAAGGAGTTTTTAAAATCGAGGTTCTCATTCTAGGACAGCCTGCTGTATATATGAAGTATTTGTTATATTTAGACTTATATAACAAAGACTTATATTTGTTATATTTAGAGGGAAATGTATGGCATGTCTGTGGCATGGCGAAGAATGCACTATGCATGATTACCTGCTCCCGAATCCTGGGTACATCAGACAGCCCCTAAAACATTGCTCTGAGATGACCACGGCATCATCTCTTGATGGTTCTGATAGTCTGATTAAAATGTTTAGCTGCCATGGTAACATGGGATTCAAAGGACAATATAGTCCCTGGGTCAGGGACTGAAAAATCACCAGGAGAATTCACAACAGCCATTCTAACTCCTACTCGCGACATCTGCAGAACGTGATTGGAATCCAACCGGAAGGAGTCTGTTTCACGTCCAAGTACGCTGCTTTACAGAAAAGGCACCTACGCGATTAGCTAAAAAGCTGAAGACCACAGAAAATGCTTTGTAGGAAGTAAAGGAAATTCCTTATTGCAGGATTGTAAATGAACAAAGGAAACCCAATCCCAGGGTTGCTGGGGCCACAGAGGCCCAGGGAGTGAGAAGCCCAAGTTGTGAATGTATTTTCAGTATCCTCTTTTTGACAGTGGCACAGGACTGAGATGCTGGAGGGAGGGCAGGCCTGGGGATGATGACTCCAGCTGTGCAGCCGTTCATCCCCACAGCTGCTGAAATAAGGCTAGCAAAGTCCAGCATTTGTGGGTGAGGGCCATCAGGACATGGTTTCTATCACTATCTTGGTCTCCTGATGAAGTCACTGCCTGTCTGCTTTGGACTCTGTACCTTGGGTTTTGCTGATAAGATGGGCAAACTCTAGTACTACAGGGAGTGTTAATCTCCTAGCTTGTGCTTTGCTAATACAGATATTTTCTTAAAACCCCTCAAATTCATGCTCTAACAATCAGCACGTTTTGTACATCCTGGGCTCATACCCAGGTTTAAAAGAGGGGCACACACTAGTTCTTAAAGCTTCCCTTTTTAAAGTCAGAAGCTCCCCAATAACCCATCTGCAATAATCTAGCCCTGGTCACTTTGCAAACTGAGTTCCTGTATAATTGCAACCAACGCTGTGTTGAGGGAAATAAGACTATCACTGCCCTTCCAGGGCTAACGTCAGAGAAAGAAAAGGATCCGAGAATGTTTATAGGCACTTGGTGGGGTCCACATTTTGTTTTTGTTAGCAAGAGAGGTAATCACCGAATGATAATAGGGAAAACTGGGTGCCATTCCTCTGACTCTAGCAGGGTAAGTAGATGATTTGCCCTTGGCCAGGGCGGCAGCTTCAAGGGTGTGCTATGAGGGTCAGTGCATTAAGAATCTATAAAGGAAGCATGGACGTCTGGGAAAGGAATCATCTTTAGATTGAGAACAGATGGATGGCGGTCTGGATCTGTAGCAGACACCTATATACTTTTCCTTCTCTTCCATTTCCTTTTTTATTAAGAATCTAAACACTTTCCAAGTCCCAGGCAACCAAATAGCAACAAAGTCTCAAAACTGGTTTGTTTGATGGCTAATGTTTCCGGAATCTGGACTGTGGCTGAATGAATGGTGGGACTGCAGGACACCAGTGCACGTGAGGCCTTCATGTGGGCCCAGTAGAAGGCTCTAGAATAGGTGGGCAGGAGTTATGGAAGGTATGTATTGGCCATACACTATCACTGATGGGTGGCTTTCAGTGTAGGCAGAGACCTTGGTGATTCGCTCCAAATATAAGCATCACACAAACATCTTACGATATTAAGTGGATCTCAGCAAAAGCGCAGAAAGGAAAAGACCTGAGCAGAAGGAGAATTTTCTTTACATTTAAATGTGTTAACTGGAATGCATGGACATATGTAACCAGAGCTCTTTCTTTATGTTTAAAAATTAAACTTGCCTGGGTCATTAATTCTATAGAATTAATGTTACTAAAGTTACAGTAACATACAGTTCAAAAATTCAGTCTTCCAGATTTCTAGTTACTTAAAATAAAAAAAGACCACATACACAATCACATACCTTCACACAGCTGCTGCACTCCCAAATGGAACACGCATTACAAAGCATACACACAGACACTCAGAAAGCACATGTGCCCAGAGGCCAACGGACACCTCTCTTGAACCTGAGATACACGTGGGCTGCAGTGAGGGTCAAGAGGCCCTGCTGCATATCTGTTCGATGTCATTTATCTCTTTGGGACAATCTGCAGAAAGGATGAGAGGTGAGTCCTGAGTCACCACTACGTCATCCTCAATTCGTACACCAAGACCACGAAACTTCTCTGGGGCATCTCTGTCATCCTCGGGAATATAAATGCCTAAGGAGTAGAAAAAAGAATGTGCTATTTATAAATGCAAGTCACGGGATGATTTGGGGTAAGTAGGTTAACCTCTCTGTTACAATTCACTGTAAAACTGGGATCTTAACAGTATCGACCAAGAGCTGTGGAGATTAAATGAGATAATACATATAAAAGTGTCTGGTACATGATGGTCAATAAATGTTGGCTATCATTACTAGAACTATTATTACAGTTATTTTGTATTATTACAGGCTCCACACAACTGTGATAATGCCGATCACAAATCTGTCATATTCTGGTGGCTCAAGCAGGCCACTGAAGTTACTTAACTCCTAAGTATGTCAATATATGCTGGGAACCAGTAGGTTATATAAATGCATTCTTTCTCTGATAGTCCCCCAGAAAAAGGGAACTTGGCTAAAACAAAGATATAAGGTATTTTAAAATGTACTTAAAAAATACTTAGAGATTATTAGTCTGAACAACCAGAGGCTGCAGAAATACTCAAACAAGCCCTCTCAAGCCATAAATGTAATGGATGTATACAATGCAAAGTAAGAGATAAACAGGAAAACTTTAATGAATATTTGGAAAATTGTAAGAGCCTAAGGAATCCTTTCTAACCATGAAGTCGGACAGTCTTTTCATATTAAAGAAACTATAAACTTCCTCCACTATAGTCACAATTGCTGCTCTGATAAAAAGAAAAAGATCAGCAGAGGAAAATGTAGTCAAAGTCTAAGGAAGCATCCACGTACCAACCAGACTGGACGAAACGGCACATAAGGCCATGGATAGGAACACATGAGTGTGTTCAAAGGGTGGTATAAAATAAGTATCCCAGCTTTAATTATATAATTTAGAGATGAAAACACTTAGAAATCTAAGAATGAGATCTGTTTTCATGACAAAAATAGCATCAGTATTTAAAAATTGACTATTGTAAGATTGATTTTCAAACTCGGCTACAGTCACACTTCTCTGATGAAATCTGCCCAATGCCTGGCATCATGAGGTGAACCATTAGATTGCCAGCTCTCTCTGACGATTAGAGGAAAGATTTGGTTACTAAGAAGTAGGATAATGTGGGAAGTTCAATGAGTTTGCAGAGGAGCTGCAAATGAGAATGAGAGTAGCTTTCTGCAGGAAGGTATGGGGGCTTCAGAATCGTGAGCAGCCCACCACTACTACTCGGGAGACCTCACCCCACCCAACTTGTGGGCCCACCCACGACGTTTCCCAGTGGCTTTTCCATATAAATGGCCTGTCTTGTTCATGTTGTGGACTCTCAGAGGTTCAAACAAGCAGTACCTAGCCTCAGCGTGCCCCGTACCTCTTGCTGAGCAGCCCCAAGCCAGGCGCTAGTGTCAGCTAGGCTCAGTGTGCAGCTTTGCCTATACTAGGCACCTCCAAGCCCAGTACAAGTGGCAACCATCTGCAGATCACTTTGTAGCTCACACAAAGTAGCCCCAGGAAGGAGAAAGGCAGTGGCTGACCTTGGCCTGCACTAGCACCCCTTCCAAGAGGCCCCAGAACCAACACACTTGGTGGTCAGCTTCAAACCACACCAGACACCACCCAACCAGATTCAAAAGGCGGACTGGGCAGGCACCAGAGCCCCGCTGAAGTGAATCCTGCTCCATGGGGTCAGCCCCTGCACAACACTCCTCCACTCTAGTCATAGCCAGTCCTTACAGCCAATCAGCCTGAGGGTCAATCCCTCCTACTGATATGCCAACAGCAATCAAGCCTCAACTATAATAGGAGAGCACACCTAACCCACATAAGGGACACACCTGGAGCATCCGGCTCAGGTGACCAGGGAGACTGTGTTACTGGGCACCACAGGACACCTACTGCATAAGGCCATGCTACTAAGACCAGGAGATGCAGCAGCCCTACCTAATACATGGAAGCAAACACAGGGAGGCAGCCACAATGGGGAAACAAAGAAACATGTCCCACATGAAAGAACAGAACAAGCTCCAGAAAAAGAACTAAACAAAATGGAGATAAGCAATCTATCAGATACAGAATTCCAAACATTGGTTATATGGATGTTGAATGATCTCAGGGAGAACTTCAACAAAGAGATTAAAACATAAAAACATAGCCAGAAAACACACACACAAAACCCAGTTAGAAATAAAGAACACAATAACTGAAATGAAGAATACAGTAGAAGGAATCAAGGGTAGAGTAGATGAAGCAGAGGATCAAATTAGCAATTTGGGAGACAAGGTAGCAGAAAACACCCCATTAGAACAGAAAAAAAAAAAAAGAAGAATCCAAAAACATGAGAAAACTTGTAGTTTAAGGGGTCTCTGGTACAACATTGAGTGTACCAACATTCACATCATAGGGGTACCAGAAGAAGAAGAGAAAGAGCAGGAATTAAAAACCTATTTGAAGAAATAATGATGGAAAACTTCCCTAACCTGGGGAAGGAAATAGACATTCAAGCCCAGGAAGTGCAGAGAGTCCCAAACAAGATGAACCCAAAGAGGCCCACACCAAAACACATCATAATTAAAATGCCAAAGGTCAAAAACAAAGTGAGAACCTTAAAAACAGCAAGAGAAAAGCAGTTAGTTACTTACAAGGGAGCCCCCATAAGACTGTCAGCTGATTTCTCAACGGAAACTTTGCAGGCAAGGAGGGACTGGCACAAAATATTCAAAGTGATGAAAAGCAAGGACCTAAACCCAAGATTACTCTACCCAGCAAGGCTATCATTTACACTCGAAGGACAGATAAAGAGCTTCCCAGACAAGGAAAAGCTAAAGGAGTTCATCACCACCAAATCAGTATTACAAGGAATGTTAGAGGGATTTTAAGAAAAAGAAGAAAAAAAAGATAAAAAAATATGAATAAAATGGCAATAACTACATATCTACAATAATAACTTTAAGTGTAAATAGATTAAATGCTCCAGTCCAAAGGCTTAAGGTGGCTGAATGGATAAGAAAATAAGACCCATACATATGCTACCTGCAAGAGACTCACTTCAGATCAAGACACACACAGACTGAAAGTAAAGAGATGGAAAAAGATATTTCATGCAAATGGAAATGTAAAAAATGGTGAGGTAGCAATACTTATATCAGACAAATCAGACTTTAAAACAAAGGCTATACAAAAGACAAAGAGGGTCCCAGCAATTCTACTTCTGGGTATTTATCCAATGAAACCCAAAATGCTACTTCAAGGGGATGTGTGCATCCACATGTTCATTGTAGCATTGTTTACAATGGCCAAGATATGGAAGCAACCTAAGTGTCCATCAATGAATAAATGGATAAAGAAGAGGTGGCACATAAATACAATGTGATATTACTCGCCCATAAGAAAAGAATGAAATATTGTCATCTGCAACCACATGGATGGACCTAGCAGGTATTATGGTAAGTGAAATGGGTCATACGGAGAATGACATGTGATTTCACTTATATGTGGACTCTAAAAAAACAAGTCAAACAAACAATACAGAAACAAACTCATAGATACTGAGAATATTTTGATGGTTGCCAGATGGAAGGGGTTTGGGTGGAGGGTGCAAAAGGGGAAGGGATCAAGATGTGCAGACTGTCAGTTATAAAAACAGTCATGGGATGTAAGGTACAGCATGGGGAATATAGTCAATAACGTAATAGCTATGTATGGTGTCAGATGGGTACTAGCCTTATGGGGTGATCACTTCATAAGTTATATAAATGTCTAATCACTATGTTGTGCACCTGAAACTAATATAATATTGTATGTCAACTGTAATTAAAAAATAAAAAATTATTTTAAAAAATTTATTTCTTAATATCTACTTATAGAAAGTGGTCCCGTTGGTTCTTTACTGGAGAAATCAAATTAAACAAATTGTGTGATGTTAAATAAGAACAAGAAAAATCTAAAAGTCCCTTCTACACTGGAGAGATTTCATTTTCCTCACTGAATTATGTTGGTTCAGGTAAAAATAAATGATGCTTACCTTTCTATCTGACACTACTATTACGTGTCCCAAGGGGTCAGAGGCTGCTAGCACCTCCCCTTACCTGGCTCCACTGTGATCACCATGCCAGGCTGCAGAGGGAAGGAACGGGGCATGTCCGGAGTGTCGTGGACGTCCATCCCAAGGTAATGGCCAACATGATGAGGGCAGTATTTTCGAGCAGCCTGGAAAAGGTAATTTCCACAGTGCCATTAGAGCAGTGACCACTTATGGGGAAAGTTCGGCATGTATAAATCAGTGAGATACGTGTTAGTACCTCGTTCATGGTTCTGCCATGTGTGTTTAACCTGTCCTTGGGCTAATGCTTAAGAGACCCGATAAACTGCCACCTCTTATAAGTAATTCTGCCAGCAGCATTCTAACTAATCCACGCTTTTGTTCCCACTATTTAATACACTACACACATGCTGACTTGGGTAACCCCAGGAATGACTATGGCAAATGAAATTTTCTTTTCTTGGGGGAGGGAGGATGACTATGCTACAAATAGTTTTATTTTCAACGTTCACACATCCTTCTCAGGGAGTCTACTCTAAAGACCCCGAGTATATCACAGCAACTTGTGGAGTAGGCACGAGACATCAAATAACACAGTAATTAGTAGGCATTGACTGGTCTGGATATTTCTATCCATTAATTAAAGATTCGCTGGCCTGAGCATGACGAATTTACAGCTTCTTTCCTATTGATAAAAGAAACCCTGGCAGCCTATCCTTGGAGATGGGAGATGCCTTTAATCATCTGTTTGGCTTGACCACCCCGCATCTTAAATTAAAGCTGAGGCTTTGCATTTTTACTGTACACCATTACATTTGGGACGCAGATGAAATTCACTAAAGACATGGCCCTTGAGGATACTGTGAAAATCTCAACAATGTCACTGAGCAACAAACACCCTCCCCTTTGACTTCTTCCTTTTCAAGATCTCCACAGAAGTGAGTTAACCTCTCCTCCTTTTTGTGTCCTCTGCACCCTGCCTGCACCAGACTTCATTTTAGGTTCTGAGAACGGAGTTGCAGTACGCGATGAATCAGAATGTGCTGCCATCTTCTGGGGGAAATAAATACTGACTCCCTTTGTTTTAATCCGCGTTCAATCTAAGTCCCTCTAACTGGTGGAGGATCACAAAGACCACTTCTAAATCTAATTCACTTTACAGAGGATGAAAACTGAGCAGCACGTCAGGTGTTCTTGAGAACTGAATTCAAAAGCAGTGAAGTACCTTGAAGGCATTAGTTTCCCAGATGTTCTTCCCGATCCCCAACTCTTTAAGCTTCTGTCCTAGCAGGGTGAGCATCATGGTGTAGATGTTTTCCAAGCTTGTTCCGGGGGAGCAGAGGGTCAGACAAGCTCTCTGGATCTCTAGAACAGCTTCATAGAGTTCTGCCTGAGGTGCTGTGAACCTGGGGACAGGAAAACCAAACTACTCGCATTTGGCATTATTTGATCTTGCAGGAAGTTTGTGACAAGAGAAAAATTCTGAGATGTTACAAATTCCATTACAGCAGCTAGAGTGAGAGGACAGGACAGGACTAGCTACCCAGTTAACAGCTGTGGGCCAACTAACAAAAGACTGCTCCTATTTGAATGTATGTTGGAGCTTTGCTCAACCTCCAGGCCTCTCTTAGGACCACCAGGTGCTATAGCACTCCTGCATATGCACGAACATGCAGGACTGTTGCTTGTAACCAATCAGAAGTAGTAAATATTTCCTCCTCACCGACTGTGCTCTTATCATATTGTAGAACTGCTCCCGCTTCACCTTTCCCTGCCTGCCCCACTTTATCTGTAGCCAATGTGAATTCTTTCAAAACAGCTTACATCTTTCTTCCCCAAAACATAATATATAAAACATGCCCGTCAGCTCCAGGATGGCAGACAGGTTGCCTTCTCCAGGCAGCCCTGCTTGTTGGTGTTTTAGACCTCACGCCCCAGGACCTGGTGCTTTCCTGGCTAGCAGTATGGCCCAATAAACCCTTTCTTTAAAAAACAAAACAAACA